TTAAATCTTCACAAGGAATGACAGAGGCTCGAAGGTAACAGAAACCATTTAATGTAACAAGAACGGTGTAACAGAAACAACTGAAGTAGACCGGACAGGCTTGTAGCTGTGCGCGGTAGATCGGAGAGTCAGAACAGTTGACCGGATAGCTTCCGCAGTTATGTAGTATATCGGACAGCCGTTGGAGTTGTGCTGCCTTTTATACTCGGCTGACTCGCGCTTGACAGCTCGGCAACTGATAGGCGCGTCTGATTGGCTAAGACGTGCCTGGCTGCTGCCGAGCTGTCATTCGTAAGTGCGAGGACTATGTAACAACCATGATAAAACATCTAATGTGTTAATTGCACTAGCTTCTGTTATAAATTCTGTTTAGAGTATCACAGATCAAACAAAGTGCACAATTACCATGTGCTTTACTGCTTAACTGCTTTAACTGTAACTTTGCTTAGAACAAAAGAACATAGAGTATATACCATAGATCCAAACATGAAAACACTGCCATCTACTAATTGAATACTACTGTAGTTGTTAAACAAAAAATACTTCAAAGTGCCAATTATTACCTATAAAGCCATAGGATCAGGTTACTTGTCTTACATCATTCCCTTTGATTGTCCCTTAATGCCCACGAGTGCTGGCAGTGCAGGCCTATTGCAGGATGGGAACTGGATTCTAAAATTTGTGTCAAAATTCCAGCTTAATGAAACAACAGCCCCCAGATCTGAATGGCCTTAAATATATTGGCACTTTAAGAAATAAACATGAAAGCTAGAGTGTCACCACACATTTTAGTTCTGTGAGTTAAATGTGTCTGGTGCTTAATTATTTAATATCCACTTCAAGATTTAGACTGGGAGTAAAATGATTTTGGAACCTCACGAATGGAAATGTTTGATCTTGAAAAGGCTAAGAAGCTAAAAACTGTTTAATTTTGGGAGAGGAAATTGTTAGGCATATACAAGTCATTTCTTCATTACCAATTCTGGCTAGTATATTTGTCTAAAAATGCCAAGTTACAGGATAAGGAGTTAGTTGTGTTGACATTAAGCTGAAAATGTTCACATGATTTTGCAGTCCCCAAGAAAGGACATCGTCCTTATAATATGGAGATGATGCAAATGAATTCAATGGCTTTATCTCTTTAAAAGCAGATCTTCCAAAAATTCACCTGCACATATGAATTTAATATTAGGCATCATTTGTGCAAAACCAGTTTTCTTCGGGTGCAAATCTCATTCATTTTTCACAATGACACGCCACTCCTTAATTCTCATCATACTGGCTTCCTTCTCTAGAGGTTTGAAATTTGGACCATATTAAGTTTTTTTTTTCCTAGCACTGAAGGGAATTTTACATCTTTACTATGGCCTTACCTTCTAACCATCATCCATTATGTTTTGTCTTTTCTCATTAGGTGGCCTTTCCCAGATTGTCCTGACCCAGTTAGATGCAGCGCTGAAGAAACCAGGAGAATCCCATAAATTGAATTGTGCTGTCACAGGATTCAATGTTAACAGCAACTGGATGAATTGGATTAGACAGAAACCTGGCCAAGGACTGGAATGGCTTGTTCACTACTACTCATCTAGTGACAACTATTATTCCCCAACAATCCAAGGACGGTTTACCGCCTCCAAGAGAGTTCCAATTTCTATCTGCAGTTGAACAACCTAAAATCTGAAGACACAGCTGTCTATTACTGTGCAAGATGTACAGTGAAATAGATCTTAAGGGATCTCATGCAAAAACCTTTCCTTTTGCTACTGAAATATCTCTGTAGGGGACAGCAGAGTACCACAAAATAAGTTATGTAACCATCTGAAATAAAATCACTCAGGCACGGAAGAGATGAAAATGAAAATACAAAACAAAAATACCACTGAAGAAATTATTGCTCCACAGTTAATGTGGTTGAACAAGTTTCACTCATTGGTTTTTAATTATTTTGCTGTGGTTTCTCAAATGTTCCAGGGCTAAATTACATCTCAAAATGTCCTCTCTTTTCTTTTCAGGTATTCATTTCAGAAAGATTCCAAGGATTTTTTCCACAAGAAGCCATATTCTTCATAAAATATTTTGAATTCCATGAAATTTCTTTCCCTCCTGTTTTTCCCCAAATCAAGTTTTATTTTGAGAAGATCTGCTAGATACAACNTAGCTGCTTGAATTGCTTAAAAATATTATCTGTTGACTGCAAAGCTATAAAACTGCTTCAGCTCATTTTTCTTTTGCAACAATGACTGTTTAATTTTGTCCAAGCAACCTCTGCATGGATGTTTCCATTGCTTCTTCTTGAATAGAAACTGAACCAATCATACCTTACTCAGTATCCAGTCAAAACTTCAAGCTAGTCCAGACAAGGAAACCCAATACATATAGATCAAAAGTATTTTCATTAAAAAGATATAGTAATAGTATTTCAACTCTGAATGATTCCCACTACCTCCTTGAAATTTGTGAGACTGAGGGAGGGTCTTGTAAGAAGTTTTATCATGTCACTGTTCTCCACCAGAGAGAGGTTCTTCTGATGTTTACTTTGGTAGTTGCTTTTCAATAGGGCTGCTCTTGAAGAAGATTTTATTCTGCATTGTTTGAGAATTTAGGGGGATGCACAATTTGACCCTAATAAAACTTCTGTTGCGTTAGTAGCACTAGCTTCTGTTAGAAATTCTGTTCATAGAACCACAGATCAAACAAAGTGTACAGTCAACATGTGCTTTACTGCTTAACTGTTTTAACTGTAGTAGGAAAAAGGCGATCAAACCAGTCAGTTCTACAGGAGATCAACTCTGACATTTCAGAAGGCCAGATCCTGAATGTGAAACTCAAATACTTTGGCCAACTAATGAGAAGGAAGTAATCACTGGAGAAGAGCCTAATGCTGGGAATGATTGAGGACAAAAAAGGGGGACGAGAGAGAATGAGGTGGCTGAATGGAGTCAATGAATGAGGTGGCAGGATGGAGTCAATGAAGTGGTGTGAGCTAAAATGGGCTCTGGTGGATAGTAGAGGACTTGAAGGCCTGGAGCAACATTTCTAATCTGCATTGTTTGAGAATTTAGAGCGACGCACAGTTTAACCCTTATAAAACTTCTGTTGCATTCGTAGCATTAGCTTCTGTTAGAAATTTTGTTTATATAACCACAAATCAAACAAAGTGTACAGTCAACATGTGGTTTACTGCTTAACTCTTTTAACTGTAACAGGAAACTGACCTTAAAACAAAAGAAAATAGAATATATACCATAGATCCAAACTTGTAAACACTGCCATCTACTTCCTGAATACTACTGTATTTGTTACAAAAAAACAATACTTCAAAGTGCCAGTTATTACCTATAAAGCCATAGAATCAGGTTACTTACATTACTTCATTCTCTCTTATTGTCCCTTAATGCCCATCAGTATTGGCACTGCAGGCTTTCTTCAGGATTGTATCCAGATTCTATAATTTGTGTCAAAAACCCAACCTAAAGGAACAACACTCCCCAGGAGATCTAAATGGCACTAAATTTATTGGCACTTTAAGAAATAAACAGAATGTCCCCACACACGTTTGATTATGAGAGTAAAATGAATCTTTTGCTTAATTGTTTAATATCCATTTCAAGATTTAGACTAGGAGTTGAATGATTTTTGGATCTCACAATTAATATTGTTCCATCTTGAAAACGCAAAAAAGTGCCAAACTCTTTAAATGTGGTGGAGACAATTATTAGGATTCCCAGGACCTGAGACAGAGCTCACAGTTGTGAATTTTAATGAAACATTCATGT